GTTTGACAAGTACTTTCATCTGCACACATTGAAATCCCCATATAGTGTAGGTTGAGTCCTGTAAGAGAATGAAAATCTGGAAAGAGTACGGTGACTACTTCTCAAGCTCACACTGCCAACTGACTGATTAACACTTTTCAGAACCTGTTCTTTGACCACCTCGGGCAGGTTCCTACATCAGTTGGTCATGGCCCTGGGGCCTCCTGTTTTTGTAATGAGGGTTTTATTGGACTGCACATTCCTTCACAAATGTTACAGCCAGGGGCAGCTGCTGGGTTCTGTCCAGATCTTACTGTGCTGCCTTGGGGACAGTAGAACCTGAGTGAGCTCTAGAAGAACATGTCAGCAAAAATCATTCCTGTTTCTTTCTATGTGATTAGATTAAGAATAATGTAAGAAAGCCTGCAAGAGGTAAGATGGTGCTTTTCAGTCTGCTTCTGGTCAGAGTAGCCAGCGTTTGCCCATACCCACTAAAAACAAAGAGGTGGGTGAAGATAACTTTTTAAAGAAACATTACAGAGTGTGTGCTCAATACTAGTTCCGTGACCCATTTCCACTGATAAGCAGCTCCCGATCATTACTGGTGATTTTGCTGTCATGTGATTTCTCAGTCCTAATATTACCTGCATCTTTACCCCAGAACAGTCCAGCATGATCCTCCTCTGGGACACCACAAATCTCAAGACACCTCTTTCTCACTTTATCCCACCCCAAGAAGTCCAGGGTGCATTGCTGAAAGTGCTAGCCTTGCTGTCTAACCTGGCTCAGGCAATGACAAGCTACGCCTGACCAGGAAACTACAGTGTTGGATTTGGTGTGTGAGCTCCGGCTCAAAAATTATTTAATCTGAATTAACAGTCTTGTGTAGTTTTCATTCTCTGCACTCACAGCCCAACAGCATTAGGAATATATGTATCTTCTTCACCTCTAGGATCCAAGAAGCCTGAGTGTAGTGAGATCGATAAGAGGGACCCTTTCACCACTAGCCCATCCAAAAACAACTTGCAGGGAGGGGGTTTCTTCAAGAGTAGGAAATAAATGAGCTCAGAACCATGAGTCTGAACATAATAAAACAAGACAGAAAACCAACATCGGTAGTAAAGGACACTAAATTGACAAAGGAAGCAGACGCATCCCTTCCTAGGAACTCCAGGAAAGGAAGGTGTGTCGTTCTAATAGGAAGGACACCTGGGCATCTGTAGGCAGGTCTCTGCACATGCACTCTGGTCCCCAGGGACAGTGGATCAAGAGGTGTTGGGGAGCTTTGTCTTTTCTGCAGAACACCAGCTATAGGGTTATTTATGTTGCTGAGTAGTTCTGCATTGTACGATGTAAACACATTTTGTTTACCCACATCTAGAAAAAAAACTGCTGTTGAATGGTATATTTCCTTTCAAACATTGGAAGAAACCAGCAAACTGTTTTCCAAAGTGGCTATGCCACCTTGCATCCCCACTTTCAAAGTGTGAAAGTTTTACACACTCTCACAGATACTTGATATTTTTCAGCTTCTTGAGTCATTCTAGTGTTTGGTTGAGTTCTAGTATCTCATTGTGGATTTAATTTGCATTTCTATTACAAATAATAGACATTTGTGTATCTTCTTTGGTGGAGTTTCTGTTCTAGTCCACCACCACAACCCTTATTTTTTCAGTTGGATTGTCCCATTATTGAGTTATGGGAGTTTTTTGTATGTTTTGGATACAACCCCTTTTCCAGAAATGCTTCATAAACATTTTTGCCCAATGTTGGTTTTTTTCCCCCTTTGGTACTAGGAATTGAACTCAAGGGCACTATGCTCCTGAGCCACATCCCAGCCCTTTTTATCTTTTGAGACAGGGTCTCACTAAGTTTCTTTAGGCCTCACTGTTACTAAGGCTGACCTTGAACTTGCAGTCCTCCTGCCTCAGCCTACAGGTGTGTACCACTGCATCCAGCCCAGTGTGTTTCTTAGTGGTGTCTTTTGAAGAGTAAAGATTTTTAATTTTGATAAGGTTAAGATCACAATTTTTTTCATTTATGATTTGTATTTCTGGTATCACAGCTAGGATAATCTTTGGTTAACCCAAGGTAATGAAGATTTACCTTGATTCCTTCTGGAAGTTTTACAGTTGGCATAGCTGTAGCTCTTGAATTGAGGTTTATGATCTCTTTCAATTTAATTTTTGTGTATGCAGTGAAAGAAGGTTCAGGAGTGTTGTGTGTGTTTATGATCATTCTAATACCACTGGTTTTAAAATCTATACTTTCCAATTAAATTATCTTGGCACCTTTGTCAAAATCAGTTGACCACACACGTGGGTCAACGTCTGAACTCTGTTTTCCGTTTACCAACATGCCTATGTTAATATTAACTGACTTGGTTACTGAAACTCACATGAACAAATGATGTCCAGATTGACTTAACCTTTCCCACCCTCGCTCATTGGACAGCGGCAGCAGCCACTGGGTGGATCATCAGGAATCTAGGTGAGCAAACCCTGCTTGCCAAACATTGTCCAGCTGTGAAGACATCTGTCTTTTCCTACAACTGTTCATTTGCTTTGGGGGCCTGATCTTATGATTTCTATATTCTAGGAGAGATCATTGCAAAAGGCATTTTTCTTCCCTTTTGAGAGAAGGAAATTAAGGCTATTGCCTCAGCCAAGAATTAACTTTGTTTATCTACTTGGTGGAAATAGGAAATACAAAATAAAATCATGGCATTTGCAGGTTAATGGGAGGCATTGGAGAAGATAATTCTAAGTGAAGTTAGCCAATCCCCAAAAAACAAATGCAGAATGTTTTCTCTGATATAAGGGAGGCTGATTCATAGTGGGGTAGGGAGGGGGAGCATGGGAGGAATAGGTGAATTCTAGATAGGGAAGAGGGGTGGGAGGGAAAGGGAGAGGGCAGGGGATTAGCAAGGATGGTGGAACGTTGATGGACATCATTATCCAAAGTACATGTATGAAAACACGAATTGGTTATCAACATACTTTATATACAGAGATATGAAAAATCATGGTATATATGTGTAATAAGATTTGTAATGCAAAAAAAGTACATGTATAAAGACATGAATTGACATGAACATACTTTATATAAAAAGATGAAAAATTGTGCTCTATATGTGTAATAAGAATTGTAATGCATTCTGCTGTTGTGTATTTAAAAAAATAAAATAAAATTTAAAAAACAAAGAATATAAAAAATTTTTTCTCTCATTATTTTAAGTATTAATTTTAAAATCTTGCAAATGAGATTTTTATCAGAGAGCTCTTGATATTAGTTGATTTAATACTAGTTATTTTGAAAGAGAAGAAATTTTAATCTATCTGCAGAAATTAAGGAATATTTTAAAATATCACCATGGTATTCCTTGGAGACTCATGTTCTTAATTGACAACATCAATCAAGGAGAACACAGGCAAATATTTGAAATTATATGTAGAATATGTATTTTACCCTTAAATTTAAAAAAAAAATTATAAGTGTCTTTAAAGTTCTTTTAGAAATAACCATGTAGTAGTCTTAGCAACCAATACTGACTGCTTTCTCAATCATCACATCTTTAGAATAGTTCTTGACCTCAAAGTAAATCTTCCAGGTTCTTCCTCAGGAGTGTGTCTACTCCTTTTGACCTTTTCATTTTAATTAGAATCAGCTGTGCAAACAAGCATGCATATTGGGATTTTGGTAATGACTGCATAACATGTTGATAAATTTGGAAAAAAAATTGACAGCTTTGAAATGTTTGCCAATTACAAACTTGGTTTGTTTCTTCATTAGATATCATTAAGCTTTTAAAACATTGCTATAAATTGTGTTCTCATATATTTTGGGTATATATTTATTTCTATGTATTTGACATTGCATTGTAAGTTGTGTCTTTATTGAAATTTTGTTTTCTGTTTGTGGCTAGAATTTATAAGTGATGTTGAGATTTGCCTGTTGACATTTGACAGGCTTGCTAAACTCAAATTCCAGTAATTCCACTGTAGATTGCCTACAGTTCCAGGAGTCAGCAAACTATGACCTGCAGGCCAGATCGAACTCACAGCCTGTTTTCACAGGCCAAGAATAGTTCTTAACCTTTTAATAAATGATTGTAAACGCCCAAAAGCCAGGAACAGTCTCCAGAAACAGTGAGTAGCCTGCTCAGTCTAAAATATGTATGATCTGGCCCTTTACAGAAAGTTTGCTAGCCTGGCACAGCACAGTCATCATCATCTGTGAATAGTGCAGTTTTTAGTTCTTCTGTTTTGTTAATTTTCTTTCTTTTACCACATTAGCTAAAATCTCCAGTGTAAAGTTAGAAAGAAACAGTGGTAGCTGAGAGTTTTAAATTCTTCCCTATCTCAAAGGATAAGCTCAATTTCTTAAGTATGTTATTTTTAAAAATTTTTCTATAGCTTTTATCAGACTGAAAATTCCATTCTTTCCTAATATTTAAGAACTTTGATCATAAAGTTACAAAGAAACAAGACAATCAAGAAGTTTACCTTGAAATTGTCACAGGTAATAGACACAAAGGGAGGGGATTTGTACAAATTCTCCTAAGAATTTCCTAAGACAGAACCTGTTTCTTCATTCCAGCAGTTTCTGTATTTTCTACTTTTAACCAATGTGAAACCGATACATTTTCTATCACTCAAAAATCTTCCCCTTTGCTACAGTTAAAATCTGTATAAGTAGTTTCTTCAAACTGTTATAATGACCTTTTCAAGCTCAGTGTCAAAAAGCATATGAAAAAGTATATTGACAAGTGCAAAACCTGAGCTCAACAGCTCAGGAGAAATCCCTTTGTTCATTAACTTACTCATGTCAGACTCGTTGAACACAAACTGAGACTCTTGCAAGTCAACAAAATTACTTTCATGTTTTTCTCTGTAGATATTTTATTATTCAAATAATCTGAAATATATTTAAAGTTGCTTTAGTATTAAGTTACATCTTGTAAATTCACGAGTTGTGAGTCCGATTGCCTGTGCCACTTCTAACATGATTCAAAAGAGACATTTTGAAAGACAAGTTGTTTTATTTAGTCCCATTTTAATGTCCCCTTAAAAAGTTTGACTGTTGACTCTGGATATTCAGCTAAGAGAGTCGTATCAAAAACCTGCTTGAATTTATCTAAGAATTCATAATCTGTGCTGAACCTGAACTTGTTTGCCCAAAGTATCACGGTCCCCTGCTGGGAAAGGTGCACCATGGTGAGGAGCAGCTTGTCCAGGAAGTAATGGTGGTACACCACGTCAGAGGCCAAGACATAGTCGTAATGCAGGGCTGCCCTGGGGAAGTTCTGCTCCAGGTCTTGCCCCCACACCAGTTCCTTCACTTCAGGCAGATGTGCTGTGCATTTCAGGGTATTTTTTAAGAGATTATACTGAAGGTTTCCCAGGACATCAGGTAAATCCGTTGCTGTGACTTGAGCTCCTAAATGAGAGAGAGATGGTAACAATCACCTGGAAACTTTCGGGCGGCCAGAGTACTGATACACTCCGGGACATCATAAGAGAACCAGGCCCCTTGGCCTGCGCTTGCCATAGCTCGGGCTGGACAATTCTTTCTTGTTTGTGGGCCCATTCTGAACACAGCAAGGTGATTAGTAGGCTCCCCAGTCTCTCCCTCCCCCGCCTCCAGATGTCAGTAACTGCAAACCCCCCACCCCACTCCTGAGGTGAAGACCTCCAGGGCTCAGAGTCACCTCTGGACTCTCAACTTAGTCACTTTGAAAACAAGGTGAGCTCGAGGAGTTGCTCAGCCTCTCCAAGACTCAGTCATCTCTGCAGGTGACAGTCACGATTCCTGGCGTATGGCATTTTGGGGAGATACAGTGAGTGAAATTGTGGCCAAGCTCCTACCACAGCCTGCCTGCCACACAAAAAGCAATCTGTCATTGTCACCGTGAAGGTCTTTTACAACACGATCAGGAAGGAAGGAAGGAACAAACCTAGAATACTGGCCACAATGGAAACAAGGCCTGGTCCAGCACCGATTTCCAGTATTTTGGCATCTTGGAGATTCAACTCCTCTTGATGTTCTTCTAAATACTGGCACAAAGCTGTAGCCTAAAAAACACGAACAACCGGGATTTTCACCTGAGAACTGGAACACTGGACATCAGGAGCAACCCCTCTACCTTCAGAGTTAAAAGACTGAAAGACATTATTTTCTATTTATTGAAGGGTTCAAAGGAACCAAAATCTCATTCAATGCCATATTTAGACCCCTGGAACATAAAAGTTATGACAAATTGCATGTCACAAACTGGAGAAACAAATTCATTAAATTGACTATACTAGCTATGATCAATTCCTACCCCCCACCCAAAAAAAGCAGGGAGTGGAGATCTGTAGATTAGCTCAGCTCTTATAAATTGGGGAGATGTAGCTAAACAGCAACTTCTTCCCCTGATTTCACCATTTTGGGCCTGCAACTGCATTTAGAGTGTTATATAAACTTGAAAACTTCTCTTCCCAATCAATCAAAATTCAGCTTCGTTAGGACTGTGCTATCTTGGACAACTGGGTAGTTTCTTGGATTCTTGTTTTCTTAAATGGTTCATCAAAGAAACAGACTATCAGAACAGTGCTTCTTCAGGATGGAGATTCCTTGGAAAACTGGGAATGGAACCACCATTTGACCCAGCTATCCCTCTCCTCGGTCTATACCCAAAGTATAGAAGGCTTAAAAACAGCATACTACAGGGACACAGCCACATCAATGTTTACAGCAGCACAGTTCACAATAGCTAAACTGTGGAACCAACCTAGATGCCCCTCAGTAGATGAATGGATAAAGACAATGTGGCATATATACACAATGGAATATTATTCAGCATTAAAAGAGAATAAAATCATGGCATTTGCAGGTAAATGGATGGAGTTGGAGAATATTGAAATTAGCCAATTCCAAAAAACCAAATGCCAAATGTTTTATCAGATATAAGGAGGCTGATTCATAGTGGGGTTGGGAGAGAGAACATGGGAGGATTAGATTAACTCTAGATAAGGTAAAGTGATGGGAGGGGAGAGAAGGGGGCATAGGGGTATAAAAGATGGTGGGATGAGATGGACATCATTACCCTAAGTACATTTAAAAAGATGTGAATGATGTAAATATACTTTGTGTACAACCTGCGATATGAAAAATTGTGCTCTACACGTATAATATGAATTGTAATGCATTCCACTGTATAACAAATTAGAATTTAAAAAAAAAAAAAGAACAGTGCTTCTCAAACTTTAGTGTGCCAACAAATGCCCCGGGGTAGCTTGTTAAAGATGCAGATCCTTCTCTTGTAGCTCTGGCTCAAAATTCCCCATGTCTAGAGAGGCTCCCAGTGAAGCCAGCCTGCTGGCCTGCTGACCACACTCTGAGTATGGACAAGTTGTTCATTATACATGAAACCAACCATCTCTCTCCTTTATTCGTTCTATTCTGTCTCTACCTTGTCCTGACATTTCGGAGAAAATGAATGTTCCATTTGCATTGCTTCTCAAGGAAGTGTCCACTAGCAATGCGCTGGGGAAGGAACATTGAGATGAAAAACTATGGAGCTCTATAATTGGTTTTTATGTTTTGGCCCCAGGTATAGATATGCTTTCTGCCTCTGAACTCCAGGTTCTAGTCTAGGTTGGAGAGGAGTGGCCAGGGTGATTCCAGACCTGCCACTTATGATTGCCAGTAACAAGGCTAGTACTGCAGATTTTACCCCATAAGTCACTTTACTTCATCCTCATGTGTGCATAGGGAATGGACACATGCAAACATGAACATCACCTTTTTCTCTACTGCCAAGATATTTGGTGGCAGAGCTAGAGGTAAGCAAACCAATTATAAACTAATTCCAGTGATTTCAGGGAGATATATACCAGGGTGGGGGCGGCACATGATAGAGCTGCTGGGAGTCAGGGCTGCATTCTGGGTGCCAGGGAGAGGTGAGCCAAGTGTGGAAAGATGGGCACTCCAGGTGAGGCCACCTGGTGAGACAATGGTGTCAAATTGCACCAACCTCCAGCACTTGGCAAGGCACTCAGAGTTGAGAAGGGGAGTTCTGAGGAAGGAGATGAGTTTTTCTGTGAGGGCATTCAATAAGAGGAGAGTGTCCCTGGCATGGCCAGAGGACACATGCTGCCCTGTCCTCCAGGAGGGTCTGGCCCCATTCAGGGGTCGTCTGGAGATAAAAGCCTTCTCAGGAACCCATCCCTCTTAGCCCTGTGAGCAAACTCTAAAAGGAGCTCCTTCATAGATTCCACCCCTGCAGGCACCCAGAGGGTCTTCCCACTTGACATGCGATTCTCCTAAAGCTTTCAGGGGATCCCAAGAGAGGTGCGTTTGGGTGCATAAATGGCTGAGGCCTTAGCGTAAAACAACTGAGTGGACAAATGTGCCGTTTCCATTCCTAATCTGTTACCACCGCTCTGGTTGTCTATTTGCTAAATTCATTAGAATAGGAAGCTTCGGAAGGCATTAGGTATTTTCAAACTTATTAAAGCAAAAGAAAGCCTTTGTTGGAAGAGAATCATACTCATGAATAAGGTTCTGCTTAGAAGGGAGCAGAACCCTGAAACCTGGGGCCTTTTGGCTCCTCTTCTCCCAGTTCACTTGCTACCACTTCCCAGGACTGCCTGGACAGCTCCTGAGAACCTCTTGTCATGAACTTCTGCTCAAGATCCTGGACCAGGAGATGTGATTCACTGGGGAGTTTTTAAGACATGCAGCACCACAGATATGCACACACTCACACCATACCACACCTGAATCACAGTCTGCATTTAATAAGATTTCAGTGTGACTCAGAACAGAAAGGCTGAGGAGTTCTGCTCTGGAGCCTTTCCAAGCTCAGGCTGACAGCCTTTAGGCTGGAAGAGCCATGTGTGCCCCAGGAGAAGAGCTTTATCATCAAGCCTAGGAAGCTTTCTGAACTCCCTGTCCTTAGCCAGGAGGTGAGGATAGTGTTGCATTAATAATTACAATTCATGTAGGCTTACGTGTAGCACTGCATTTGTTATAACCATGTCAGGAACTAGACATTACCTCTACTCCAGGTTTCAAATGTGGAAATGGAGGCAATTGGAGGTGCAGTGAGCACCTGGGCCCCTGCAGCTTGAAAATGGCAGGTTTTCCTCCATTCTTGCAGCATCCTTGCTGGGCCGTCACAGGGGTGACATCAGGTGGAATAATACCTCCTAAATATTTCTGTGAAAATATCCATCCAGTCAAGGAAGTATGGATGGTCAAGAGCCAGTGGGTGTGACCCAAAGGTGCCTATTGCAAAGTCTAAACTCTAAATTCCTGATATTCTTTTTTTTTTCCTTAGCAATTGTATTCATGCTGCATTCTACTTCCCAATAAGGTCGGGTTTATTTAACATAAAAATATTGTTTAAGGAACATCACTTAAAGCAAAACCAATGCTTCTGAAGGAAATGCTATGCTTCTTTGGGGTCCAAGCACACCCCCAGCATCTCTGGGGGACCAGGTAATCCATCCTCAACTTGAGAAGCACAAGAGGTAGAAGTAGGTGGCCACCTGCCCACAGCAACACAGATGTACAAAACTGCCACCTCCAGAAAGACTAAGGGCACAAACGTCACCATGCGCTCACCGCTGGCCACACCACCGCTCCATAGCTCTCTATCGACTCTTGGATGACGATCTTCTTGCCGGCAAACTGGTAATGCTCCTGAGTGTAGCTGGCATAATCTGTCGGAACGAACTTCTGGAGGCTACGAAGAGCCGATTCTCTGTTGTTAGCGTCTGTGAAGCACAAAAATAAGACAGGCTTCATGCTCCATGGATCCGGGTGAACCTACACTGGGTAAGACGGAGGAGACCAGCGATCTTTCCCGCAGTGGGGCAGTGCCATCAACCAGGGTCTGCAATGAACACCAAGCTGTGTTCTATGAGGGGATGCGACACAAGGTTCAGATGTGACCTTTTCCTCATGCAGCAAAACCCTGGAGGGGCCCTTGGCTTCTCCCTTCTCCTGAAGAGAGGAAGACCCATCCCCAACCTGTGTTCTGGTGTCAGGAGGAAGCGAAATTGTCAGGAAAATGGCACCTGAGAGCAGACTCTGCAATTAAGGGGGAACTAGGTGAACAGGAACCCGGCTATTTTTAGATCTGGACGTGAAGTAACATTCCCACATGCTGACTGCTCCCAAAATCCTTCCTGCAACTGCCCCTCAAAAGGCACAGGCCACGAGAGTGGGGCGGCTGTCACATGAGACCTGGCTATTAAGTTACTAAGGCTTTAAATACTCCTTTAGCCCCCATGACCCACGATAGCCGCTCTCAAATAGCATATAAAATGAGGGGAAGAGCGCCTGACGGGGCTGACATCACAGAATCGCAGATGGTTAAGGGTTTCCCAGAAGGTTTCAGGATAAAAGAGCAGCGGGTACACATGTCAGCAGGGAGGATGCTGAGCGCATGTGCACTCAGGGACCCTGCCTGGTGTGGACGCTGGGAAGGGATGAGCAGGGAGGAGTTTCCTAGCCCAGGGACTGGTTTTATCTGCAGGAAACTTGCCTTGTTGCCTGGGATACGATAGAAGATCTTTAAACAGCAGTGAAATCTGGGCTTGGGAGAAGAGCTGTCAGTTAACATTTGAAATGCCCTCATCAGAAGTAGCCACTCAAGGTGGAAGAGGGAGATGTGGACACCTGGAAAGTGGGCCTTGGAAGAAAGCTGATCTGCAGTCGCTCCTCGCAGGCAGGTCCCACAGCTATTTCCAACATCACTGATTTCAGTCTGCACCTGAGTGGCTCTATGCTGGGAGGCGGCGTGTTGATTCCAACAGGCTAACCCATCAGTAGGGGAATGTGGAGTGGGCATTAGACCAGCGATGGTGTCCCTTGAGGATAGTTATGAAGAAAGGGCCCAGAAATGTCTATGTAGGTTTCATTTCTTTTTGTCCTTTTTCATTGTACTTTATTGAAGTATCATTTGCAGTATCTTAGGAGATGATCCTTGACCACGGCTGAAGTGAGTCATTTGTGAATTAGCAGAGAATGCCCTGAGCTCTGCCCAGTGTTGCTCATGGCCATGGTTCTCCTCTGTATGTTCTACCACTTGGAAGAGGAATCTCAAAAAGGTGAGCTCCCTGAGCTGGTAAGTGCCTGGCAATAAATAGCCAGTGTGGCCTGAGACTGGGCTCTTTGCTGTCACATGCCCTGTCAGGGGTGGTCAGGAGGCTGCTGGGTAAGAAGGAGACTTTAGGCCTTCACTTGCCTCCTGTCATAGGAGGCGATGCACACCGAACAAAACCAGCCCGGCACTTCTGAGTGACCGAGGAGGGCCAGCTCCTCACCTTCGGGCTGAGAGGCAGAAGCCAGAGGACAGGCCGCCTGTGCTGAAGCAGGTGGAGCAGCCACTTCTGAGAGACGGAAAAAGCCCTGATTTGTAGTGTCTGGCAAAGGCCCTGGTGCAAATACTCCAATCATGGCGGAGTCCCAACTTCTGCCACTTGATGGGAAATACAGGCAGCCGCACACAGATCAGCCCCCAGAGAGCACCTCAAGAGCATGGCTGAGAGTGAACTGGAGTAAAGTAACTGCTGAGGAGCTTGGAGCATTTATTGTTTAGGCTTCTTAATAGACATTTGCCTTTAATATAATCTATTGAATTCTAAGTCTATATATTCTAAATTTTAATATAGCATGTTCTGCAACCAGAATTCCTGAAATTCAGTGCCATCTCCAGCATGCCTCTGGGGTGGGAGACTGACAGCAGCCAGCCCCTGCCAGCCCCTGCGCCCCTGCCCTATGGTCAGGTGCACCTTCCTCCCTTCCTCCCAAGGAGGGCCTGTTGGGGACTTATCTTTCTCTCAGAACTGTAGGAAAAGTTGGTGGGCTGATTTTGCCTAGCTCATCCCTTCACAAGTAAGTAAACTGACAAAGAATGAGCTTGAAGGTGTACTTTTCTGATCAACATTATTAAGAAATGCTGGCATACAAATGTTTTCCCATAAGACCCTCTGAAGTTCTACAAACACAGAAAATTGTATGACTGCAACACTTTAAATATTTTCATCTATTTTTTTCTGCGCTAGCCTGGTAGTTCAGAGATCAGATCTGAGAGAGAAGGTAGAGTTTCATTTTTATGTAAATGAGTCAGTAAAAATAAATAACATGCTCATTTAGTAGAATTAAGACATATTTGCACTCTATAAATGATTGTGTTTTAAATGGCTCTTATGATACCATTTTTATGTCTGTTATTTATGTACTTCTGAAGCTGTGCCCAGAAATGCAGCTACACTGCCACTCTGCTGTCCTAATGGAGAAATGCACCGTGATTGACAAGGGTCCATCACGCTGCTGGAATGCATTTCGGCAAGGAACAAAGGATATTTTAAAGTTCTTGTTATAAACATATGGCACTCTCAGATTTAAATACAAGATAAAACAAAGTTGCAGACTTGATAAAGCGAATGAGAAAATCGGGGTGATGTTTCAGTCTACACACAAAGGCGTTGTCAACCATGCTTCATTGTGGTAAGGATTGAGAGTTAAAAGGAAATGGAAATTCTTGCGGCCCAAGTTAACTTGAAAATGTCATCGTTAGGAAAGCAACCGAGGAAAGCTGTGGCAGTGAGGAAAAGGAGTTTACCTCCTGGGGGTCCCCCGGTGCCATCTTCCTGGAGAGCCCCCTCCTCTTCCTCCAACCAGCCACCTGGGGAGTTCGGTGCCTCTCCCAGGCACAGGGACTGCTGCGCAGAGCTGAGACACACGTCCATAGCTGGAGCCTGCTGGGAGGAAAGAACTGGACAAGACCCGTGTCACTTGGCCCAAGGAAAGTCTGACTCTCCCTGAAGGATCCAAAGAGTGTAGCTTATCGCCTTAGCATCTGCTGAGCCGAAAAGATCAACTGCTTTTCAGCTTAGTTCCCTGGGAGAGCCAGGAGCCACCCAAGGAACTGCCATTTGGCTTTGCAGAGCAAGGTACAGAGAGAACATGAAACACAACCGAGTCCTCACATGGAGAAAAGCAAACTCAGAGCAGGTGTAGCCCGGGAACAAGACTGTCACTCGGGGCTAGAGCAAGGTTTGGTTATTTTGTAACCTTTGCCATTCTCTAGTGTCACCCAGTGTTGTAACACATCACTAAGTTCTGGGGATCTAAAATGCATTTCCAATAACTTTTGGATCTGAATTCCAATAAAGAAGATCTGCCCCGCGTTGCATACCATTGGGGATGATAAAGGGTAATGGCATCATGGCCGAGGAGCCAAGCCAGGGCTTGGAGCCAGCGCCAGGCTGCTCTACTTTCATCTGAGGCTCCGTTGGAAGACGGTAGAGAGCACTGGGCTGCACGCCAGGAACCTGGCCTGGCTCCCCACTCTTCACACTTGGCAAGCCACCTAATCCCCTCAGCACCCATTTCCTCACCAGCCGAAAGGGGATGACAGCATCTGCCTCGCTCATGGGGCAATGGTGAGAGACAGAAGAGCCAGAGTGATTATAAGCCACCAAGAACTCCACCTGCCTGGGCACAGGAGACCTGGCTAGGGGGATCACTGACTGGCATCAACGCAGAAATGCCCGAGGCAGCCTGAGGACCACCGTGCTCACCGCTGCCCAGCACAGCGCTGTGGTGCTCTGTGTGTACCTTCTCAACAACCCCCTGAATCAGGCACTGTTGTTACATGCTGTCTCGGGTGGGGAATCCAGACAGAGAGAAATTGAAAAGCAGCCCAAGAGCAGCTGCAGGTGGCCAGTGACAGGGCCCTGAGGCAGAGCAGGAGCCCATCTGCAGACCCTGCCTGGTGCCCACCAGTCAGCGCAGCCCAAGCTGCCTGGGTTCAGCCTTAGTGTTCCTTGTCTAGTTTGCCCTGAAATTACTTGCAACACTTGGCTTGCCTCCATGCTGTGACAGTGACAGCCCTGGTCTTTCTCACAAAACATAAATGCTTTTCCTTACCCATTTTTACCATCTGGGTTTATTCTACACACACGGTCACTGCTGTATCCTATTGTCTCAGCCAGTGAAGGATGGCAACCAGACACCTCACCCACCCATGACTACTGAGCATGTAAAAACCACACCGAAGCCAGCTATTCAGGTGAGGAGTTGACCAGTGAACAGGCACACAGAGAAGGACCCCAGCCTGGGCAGCATCTGGAATTCCATCCCACACCCTGACAGGGGGCCTGCCCCTCTCACCTCCCGGCATCAGAATCACACAGGAAGTAGGCTGTGGTGCAGGTAATGTGATGTTTTCACTGACTCTAGAATCAGCCATTCAAACATTTACACCCCCCGCCCTGTTCTCTAACTCACACACCAGTGGAAACTGTTCCACCAGTCTGTGCTACACAGGAGTTTTTTTCTCTTGCAGGTACTTGCTCCTTCTTTTCCACTTCCCCACAATTTCAGGAAGTTAATGGTTCTGCCTTAAAAATAGCAGTCTGCCTACTGAAAAGTACACAGTAGGTCCTGAGTGCGACCCCTCAGCTCTGGTGAGAAGCCTGCATCGGGCGGCTCCACCATAAGTGATCTGCGTTGGAAGTGCAGATAATGTCCCCCCTCCTAGGAGGGCTGGGGGTATTGAGAGCCGTGACCCACCAAAGCCTCTCACACACACAATATCAACTGCTACCGTCATCTCCAGGCTTCAGAGGAGACCGCAGCGTGACACTGCATGGGGAATTCCCACATGTCACCCTGAGATGCTGCACATTAAGTTCAAGACATTTCTGCATCTGGCACACAAGAGAAGAAGACCTGTTTCCATTCAAATACCCACTATACTGTTTCTTGTGAGACAAAGTCACTCCTTCCCTGTCATTACAGTTGACATGACAGATTCCCTCCCCAAAGACAGCAGTACATTGAAAAACAAGCCAGAAAAATAAGTCCTATAATCTACTTAGTGTCTACACTGTACATTCATATATTTTAAAGATCTGGACAGTTTTTTTTTAAAAAAGACTATTTGTTAGTACCCTCAAAATGATTTCTGTTAGATATGCCTTTACCTTATGGAGCAGAAGAGATTTGAGGTTTCTGGGCACCCTTTAATCATGTGTTTATATAGATCTGTCCTGGAAGGATTAGCTTTTCATGAACAACAGCCAGCCAGTGGAAGCTCAAGTTATTTAGGGGAGCATTACCCGCCACTATGCAGAGGCACGTTGCTTTGCTATAATTCTCTCTCATGCTCTCTCTTCCCCAACACACACACACACACACACACACACACACACACACACACACACGTGGGGGGAGGGAGAGAGAGAGACCTTGCAACATGAAATGGAATTTCCCTCAAAAGATCCATAAATATGGGGCTGGGGTTATCTTTTAGCGGTAGAGCACTCGCCTCTCATGTGCAAGGCCCTGGGTTCAATCCTCAGCACCACATAAAAATAAATAAAAGTTACTGTGTACAGCTACCAAAAAAATAAACATTAAAAAATTCCATGAATATAACTCCAGCAGAACAGAGACTTCCGGGAGGGTGCCCAGCTGCTGTGGTGTGGTTTCAAGGTGGACTTCCATTTTACTTTTAAAAGAAGTGGAGGTGTGGCAGCTGGGGTCTTTACCCACTTACAAACTTTGTGCTCATCATCCAGACTCCTTGAGGCTCAAGGGAGGGGAGTGTCTGCTGCAGACTCTGCCCAGGACCCGATCAGGGCAGCCAGATATAACATGAGCCTCTACCCAGAGAAAGGAAGATGTTGGTGAGGAAGAAAGGAGGACATCTATCCATTAGAAGGGACTTGAGTCAAAGGCCTAGAGTTGCATCTGGGCTGTTTCAGAGGGGCAGCAGGAATAGGATATCAGAAATACTCCCCCCAAAAAGGAGCAAGCCACTGTGATTTATTTAAGGAAATAAGGGACAGCTAAAGGAAGGAGTAAAATTACATGCTCCTTAATGGAGCTCGGAAACCCTTAAAATAGAATATGGGTCATGTAAAGTAAAGCCTCAGGCAAATGGGAATTATCTAATTATTCTCATTTATGTAGGGCTCTGTTCAACCAGCAGCTGAATCGATACTGACTTATTCCAACCTTCACATTCACTTCTCTGCCATTGCTATTTTTTTTGTTCTTTATGTCAGTTTCTTGGAACGTTGTCTGGATGTGTTGTGGTGCCATAGCTTCGGGGTCTTCTCTCCGGTTCCTCAGGTGCTGGGGAGACCTGGCATTTTCCTGCTCCGCCATCCTACCGCCCTTCTGCTCCCCGTGGGTCCACTTCTGGGATTGCATCCTGCATTCCTGTCACTTATTCCACCAGATGTCATTGTCCCTGTAAGACTAGTTCCCTGGCACGTGTGGTCGCTGCCTTTGTTGTTCAGAGTGAATTTTCCCAGCGCCGGAGCAGCCGGGAAGACACCCAGAGGCCCGGGAGGGGCTGGCACTGTGCACAGGGCAGGCACACATACGTTGTTTTCAAATAGTTCAAGTGCCAGCCCATGAGGAGGGATCAAGCCCTCGGCAGGGCTCTGCAGGGCTCTGCAGGGCTCACTGATGAAGTCAGTTACCAGGAGGCGGCATGGGCTCAGTAGGAAAGAACTTTCTAACCAGCACAGCAGTGGAACAATTGATCCCAGCAGGCCCTGCACACTGGAAAGGTGGGCCAGGGCTGGAGTCAGAAGACACAGATGGTGACGGCTTACCTGGGGTTCAAACTGGGCTGTCTGTGTGGGGCTGCTCTGCTTCCCTCCTTCAGCACAGACCCTTGTCCCTCCGCTTTTTCTGATTAAAGCTGGCTCTCTGGCCCCTGGTTCTCTTGGGGGAATCCTTCCCTCCCTACTGAGGGCATCTTGCATTTTGGGGAGACTTGCTTGTTTGGTTGTCAAAACAGGAGGTGAGGTGCTAAGGGGACCCATGCACACCAGCTGGGATGCTGATTAACATCCCGCCATGCGTAGGTCAAGCCCCAATAAAGAATGACGACCCGGACGGACAGTAATCAGTAATACGCTCCAACTCCGGGTAATTCTTTGTTGGTCTTGAATGGATGGAGTTGGACAATATTATGCTAAGTGAAGTAAGCCAATCCCCCCAAAAATAAAGGCCGAATGTTTTCTCTGATTAGTGGATGTTGATCTATGATGGGGGCGGGCATGGGAAGGATGGAGGAGCTTTGGACTGGGCAGAGGGGAGGGTTAGGAGGGGTCATGAGGACAGGAAAGATGGTGGAACGATTGGACATTGTTACCCTAGGTATGTGTATGATTGCACCAGAGAACTGAAATGTGGCGCTCCATTTGGGTACAATGAATTGAAATGCATTCTGCTGTCATGTACAATGAAGTAGAACAAATCAAAATTAAAAACAAAACAAAAATAAAATATTACCCGGCCCCAAATGTCAACAGTGCCACGTTCCAGAAGCCCTTGATGACCATCCTGAGCACTCCACCTATTAGCTGAGTGACCGTGGGTGAGTACCCTGTCTCCTTTGTCCCTCGGGGTCCACATGTGTAAAATAGAAGTGGACTAGCATTTGCAGGGCACTCAACACATGGCCGATGCTGAGCGACATCTTCCCCACCTTCCTTCCCCACTTTACTTAGACTGGTTTCTCTAAGATGCAGACGTGCAGACAGCGATGGGAGCCGGAGCATGTCTGGGAAGTATGAGTAACTCGGGCAGAAGGTAGAAGTCACCCAGGGGAGACTGCAGCCTGCAAAGGGAGCGCTGAGGAGCCGTGTCCTCAGTGGGCACCCGCACTGGACTAGGGCGGGGGAGCTGGGCAAATCTTGCATTTGACAATCATTCTACTCCCGGTTCTGAGAGCTTCTGGGGTCTTTTTACAGAAACACCTCAGACACAAAGAGAGCAGCAGCTGGGTACTCAGATGCGTCTGAGCACTGTGAGCCAGACGGTGTCTATGACAGCCCCACCCTTCCTGCAGTCTCAGAGGAGTCAATGAAAGTTTATGTACCTTGAAGCATTTGGTGCCTGGTGCCCATGACACCCCAGGAAGATCACAGATAAATTAATGTTTTGTACTGTGTCATGTGACTCAAGGAGGTTGAATTCCAAGGGCTCTTGTCGAGGATTCTGGGTCAGCCACCAAATCAAGTGGAAAAACCAAACATACAGCCTTGAGAAATACTTCATCACAAGGATTACTTATCTACTCTATAAAGCAGCTCGGTCACAAAACCAGTGAGTTGCTTTGATGGACTTATAAGCATTTTGAAGAACAGTTGTTTCTATTTTCAAATTTCAAATTGATGGTGCCTTGGGTCCTTGTCCCCAGCCATAATGATCAATAGACAGGAACCCAGGGTGCGAATTCAGGTGGATGGATACAAGATTGATTTTCTCCTTGACACTGGGGCTACCTTCTCAGTCCTGACAGAATTCTGGGGGCAAACAGTGCCGTCCACCTCTCCTATTGTCGGGGTAGGAGGAAAGACCATCTATCCAAGAAAGACTCCCCTATTACTCTGTTCCATAGACAACTTCCCAACCTCTCAGACATTCCTAGTTATGCCCCAATGTCAAGTTCCTTTGCTCGGCTGAGATATTCTCTCTAAATTCAATACAACAATCAATATACAGGCTCCTACCATCAGTCAGGCCCCAGAATCGGTCTGTTCATCTTTTCTGGCCCTTTTGGCAGAAAGCTGGCCATTCTGCTGCTCCACTTGTGAGGCTGACATGAAATACCACACTAACCTATTTGACCCGATTGTATGGGATACCCACACCCCCTCCACCATTTCCTGATTTTTCAGGATCTTCTTAGCAAGGGGTACCTCCGTCCTGCTCATTCCCCTTGCCCATACTAGTGGTAAAAAAGCCCAATGGGTCCTACCTATGACTCATCAACACTTCCGTTAGGCCCATAAAGTTCTTCTGGGCCTACAACATACATCCTTTGGTTCCCAACCCACACACTCTGCTGGCTCACATGATCCTTACCCACCAATCAGAGCCCTGCTTGCTCACATGATCCTTACCCACCAATTAGAGCCCTGCTTGCTCACATGATCCTTACCCACCAATCAGAGCCCTGCTGGCTCACCTGATCCTACCCACCAATCAGACTAGCCCCTACTGGCTCACCTGATCCTTACCCTCCAATCAAAAAGCACCCCATGCCAACTGTCAAACCACCCCTGGCTCTATAAATATGCAGAGCTGTTCCTCAATAAACAGGCATTTGCTCCCACAACAAGCTTGTTTGTTCTTTCATTTCCCAATCCATTTCTTAAGGCAGATTTCTTCTCAAAGAACTTTTATTATAATTTTATTAGAAAGATCTCCAACTGCAACAGCATGTAACTCACAATGGGCAACTGTCAGGTTTTGTGGTATCACAGCAGCCAAGAATGCTCTGGGGTTGAGCTAAGGGCCTATAGTATTAATTCCATGAGGAATGCTGTGCTTGGAAGCAGGTTTTGATGAAAAATTCTAACAAAGAAATGTCTTTAAAATAGAGTGTTAATTTGGTAAAGACATTGAATCTGTCTTAAAATTGAAAAAATGATAGCCTTAACCCCAGAACAAATGAATTCAAATAAATTTGACATTATGGAAACATGGCTTATTTGAGAATAAGGAGGAAACATAGGCCTTAATTCTAGTTTCACTGTCAGACCTGTTAACAAAAAATAAAATAAAAAATAGAAATACCTGCACACATCCAATTCTCCACAATGGATGTAAGTACCCAAGACAGACCCCTGGTCTTCCACCAGAGCCCTCGGGTAAGGCAGCACAGGCCACCCTCAGTTCTGCCACCCTGCAGCTCAACCAGCAGCCTCTGCACCCTGCTCTTTCCACATTGCCATCTGCCTGTGGGTAACGGCACTTTTTAGGGTGGACTTGGGTGTAATTAATCATCCTCTGATTTTAGCAACATCAGTTGACTACTGTTCTGAAAGGCAATTTTTTCCAAACAGGCTTCTATTAGGAAAGAATGTGTTTACCTGGTGGAACTATTCTGGGATATTCCTCAGAGGGCAATTCCTTTCATTCTTTCCCCGCTTCCAGGGCAAACTCGATCTGATAGGCACGCTCTCCTGCAAGGCCATGGTGTCAGGATCGGGAGGAAATGCGCTGCACTACTGAAGTACTGATCCAGATGGAGAGGGCTGCAGGCGGCGGCGAGGGAATTTTATCCTGCTTTCCAACTGGGGCCTCAGACAAATCACTTCATTTTTGAGGCTCTGTTTCCTTCAACACCTTTACCATATCCACCCCAGAAAGTTCTGGAAGAAAATGTCTCTGGGCAGTGCTGAGTCCCTCTCCTCTGCCCTAGTAAAAGCAAAGACCTGGGATGGAGAACCCACGAGGACATCCCATAAACTGCTCAACGGCTCAGCGGCCTCAAGGACAACTGCTGTCCTGGGCACAGCTGCCCCAGGAAGTTGCCCCAGGGCCTGCTGATCTTATGCCATGGAGACAAAACCTGGGGCAAGAGACCACTGAGATGCCGGGGTCTTGTGAGCACACAGAATTCTAGTGCAGCCCGACTGGTGGTCTGCGTGTGTGCGGCTGTGTGCCTGCTCATGTCAGAGCACGATCCTATGAGCATCCGGGATTAGTGAGTGGAGAGGGAATTAGCTGGGAGCAAGGAAAAGAGGGATATGCAAATATTGATAATGATGATAAAGGCTGATTTTTAAAAAGGCACTTGTGATATGATCCCATGCTTGAGTAGCGGGTAACCAGTGCGTTGCACCTGGAGGGCTGTGTGTGGGGTGGTTTTTGTTGCTTCATTACATTCCGTCTTGCTCTGGCCTCCCCCAGTGAGGTTGATTAAGACATGCAGCTGGGAAACGGGAAAAGAAACAAAGAAGGGAGAGCCAACGTCAGGCACACTTTCTGGTGGCAGGTAACTGGAACTCACTTCTCTGGGACCTTCTCAGGAGCTTTCTGAACTGCACCTCAATACTATTCACCCAGAGGTCCCAGGGGGAAATCCTTTCCATCTGCTCCTGTTAGCATTGGTCAAGGGTGACTCCACCATGTTTCTGGGTTGTTCTTGCCTAGGAACCAGCAGTTCCAAGGGTGCCTGATGCCCTTGCAAGGGAGAAGCCTCGGGTCAAGCAGCAGATGGGACAGGGCCTGAGAAGTGTCCTTGGTTGTGATCATGAAGCCCAGATGGGCGGGCTACACCACTGAAGCAGGCTTTAGGGGCAGGATGGTTTATAGTCCTAATGCAGACACTGGCTGAGTTTTCTACGACAAGTATGCATTACTGAGCTAGTGAAAAGAAAATCTTTCTTCACTGTTGGAAAAAAAAAGTCTATTTATGTAATTCCTACCTATAGTTGATGGCTAGAGCTTCAGCAATGTTTGAAACTTGACATGATGTCCTCTGTTACTCTTCCTACTCTCTTCCTTCCGATTTTCTCTCCTCTTTCTATATCTTACACAATTAGGCAGCTCCCACACCAGTCCACCAAGGTCGGCCAGGTGTGCAGGCCAGAAGACGGAACCCCAGAGGCTACCTCTGGCTCCAGAGAATTCATTGTAATTCTCTCCTCTCTCTCAACTCTATTTCTGTCTCTGTTTTCTTTTGTTGCCTTTAGTTATTCAGTTAAAGTCCGCTGTAGTTTCATTTATTTTTATCATGACACATGGGGGGAAAGAAACCTGAAGCATTTACATTTACATTTGTTAATGTAAACTAGGAAAATCTTGCACATCACAGAACAATTTCTGGTGCTTTTATCAAAGGAAAAAAAACAATGAGGATCGTTAAAGTGTGGTAAGGCACACTTTGCCTAGGACCATCAAGGTAGGGGGCAGCACGGCAATGGGGTTTTGCACTTGAAGAGGGACTGGGCTCAGCTCTAACTCTCACATTGGTGAGTGGGAATTCAAAGTGGAGTAGCAGCAAAGCGGGACAGGGGTTGGGGGTTGTCATTGAATGGAAAAATGTTACGAGGAAATATCAGGGGCAAGAACTTCCAGCAGTACCCACCTCTCAGGATTCTCTCTGCAGGCATCAACAGGGGGTGGTGAGAGTTCAGGACTCTGAGAGTTGAAGAGTGATCAGATACTGAGCACGGGTCAGGGTCAGTGTTGCCAAACCAGCTTTTACAAGAACACAGAAAGGCCAAGCGAAGGTTCAGGCAACTTGTGTGGTTTGGTCCAGCCGAGAATCTTTGTCCCTTACAGAGACAGTGGCACTGATGCAGACCCACACTCTCCCAGAGGTGGCTGGAAGTTCACAAGCTCTTCAAAGCTCTGGAATTAAAGAGGATGTTTGCAACTTTTGGATGCTCAGATTTCCAGTGACACTGTCAACCGTAATGAGACGTCGATCTCTTTTTTAATGCTGCCGCCGTACACACAGCCATTTTTCAGTTAAAGTCCTGTTGGCAAATGTTATCTCATTTTAAGCTCAGGTCATCAGCACCTGGGACAGAGTGTGGGGGAGGAGAGCTCCCTCCCTGCTAGTCACTTCTCCAAGGCCAGCAGGTTGCTGCAAGGACAGCAATCTTTACCAGAAAAGAAAGGAAAACAATGAGTGAAAAAAAACAAAAAAACAAAAAAAAAACCTTCATCCAATCAAGAAAGAATTGGATAAGCTGGACTCATTAAAATTAGGACCCTCAGCAACTTAGTGAGAACCTATCTCAAAACAAAAAATAAAAAGGACTGGGGATGTAACTCTGTGAAATAGTGCCCAGGATTCAATATTCAATCCCTAGTAGGAAAAAAAAAATGAACCTTAATGTAAACTGTGGACTTCTGGTGATATATCGGCATAAGTCCATCAATGGTAACAGAAGTACCACTGAGGCCCAGGCCACTGACAGGGAGAGACTGGGGAGTGATGCATAGCACACAGAGTAAACGGGAATTCTCTGTATTTCCACTCAATTTTTCTACAACCTAAAACTGCTCTAACAAATAAAATCTACTTTTTAAAAATCTTCCTACATAATAAAAGTAAATGGCAACAAAAATCTTTAAGAAAGCTTATTGTTAAAAGAGACTTTCTTCGTAATAATAGGTCAGGCTCCATTTCGGCTCTCTGAGAAAACAAT